AAATTGGTGATAATAATAATAATATACTCGCATATAAATACATGTATTTATACACTCAGAAATGTTTCTTAAAATTAAACATAAAGATTAAATTTATAAATTTATTTATTTGTTTTATTTATTTATTATTTATTAGTTTGTATATTTCTTTATGAATTTTTGAAGTTTATTTAATTTTTTCTCTTCTGTAAAAAGAGTTTTTTTGTTTTGGATTGTGATATTTATAATTAAAAAACTAGATTAAAACAAAAAAAGATCTTTTAATTTATTTGATTTATATTTTTTTTTCTATTTATTGTGTTTGCTTGCTTTTTCTTTATTTTTTGTTAATTTAACTCATTATTTTATTTTTAATTTTTGGTTTTATTATTTCATATTTTTTCCTTCTAATGAATTAACTCATTAATTATATATTTCTTCTTCAATATTTAAAAAGATACAATCAAATTGGTGATGGAAATGGAAATGGAAATACTCGCACATATAAATGCACTCAGAATACATCTTAGGTATTATATTTTATGTTAATTTTATACTTTTATTTATCTATTTATGTATTAATATAGAATTCTTGAATATTATGAGTTTCATTGAAAAGAAACCATTCATTACTCCAGTACTAAAAGCCCAGTCTTCACTACTCTATGTGGTATATGCATTATATACTGAAGAGTAGCAGTTAATACTAAGGTATTTGCATTAAATACTGAGTATAACTTTTTCAGAGTGAGCTTTGGGAAGTGAAGTAGTTGATTGGCTTGCAAAAGTAAAGTTTATTTTCCCAGTTTTCTTATTTTTCTTTGTTTAGATTTTTTTTTTGAATTAATTAATTATAAACTTTTTGATTAATTAATTGTTTCTCAAATTGGTGATGAAGGTGCATCAGGCTTAGGTTCTGGTTTAGCAAATTGCACTAACCTCTCAAATTTGGAACTTGACTTTCGGTAAAAAGAGTTTATTTGCTTTGGATTGTGATATTTATAATTAAAAAAACTAATTTAAAACAATAAAGATCTTTTAATTTATTTGATTTATTTATTTTTTTTTATTGTGTTTGCTTACTTTTTCTTCTTCCTTTGTTAATTTAACTCGTAATTAATATTTTTTATTATTAATTAATCTTATTATTTCATATTATTTCTTCAT